CTCATGCAGTGTGATGAAGAATAAGTAGATCAGAGGTATAAATGCCATGTTTATGCCCATGTCAGTGATAAAGTGAGAAGGCAGATGGATACAGGAGGGTTATGTATTATACATGGAAAATTGTCACCAACAGAATATTTTTCAAATGTATTCCACTCAAATCAGCAAGCTTATAAAATAAAGATTAATGAAGGGATTCTTATGAAGGCAGAAATACAGTTTGATGTGCTGAAAATAGAACTGCTCTGTAATAATTTATGAGGACTGCACATTGACCTGGTTAATGGGATGTTTATAAAAGTAGGTATGAATATGCTTATTTACTTTAATGGTGGACTGCAAGGAAAAACACAGTAAAACAGCCCTCATCCTTTATCCTCCTGAGTATCTGAGAGAGGGAGGAAGTGTTATGAGGATGATCAATGGTGAATTGTTGCAACTTTCAATTTGCCTGGTTAGGAGGATCTTAGATAGTAGTTTAATCCTTGTTATAGTTATAGAGTTTGCCATCCCGCTAACCTCTCTCTTTGGGCACCCTTTCAGGGGACAGGCTTTGCATCCTTACTTCTCTCAAGGAGGGAGCTCACAGTTTACCCTAGTTTTAGGTTCGGCCACAGGACTCCAAATATCCCAGGTTAACATTTGTTTTTTGTCTCATCAATGCATCTGCTTTTAACTGCTGCAGGAAGAGGCTTACATTGGTGAGCCTTGCCCCATGTGTGACTCAGAACAGCTTCTTGAAAGCGCAGTAATATGTACTTTCTGTAGGAACATAGTATTCAGGCCAAAAAAGGGGTGGAGGGTGCTTGAACAGCAAAAGGCCTCCACATATGTCTTCCTGAAAACTCACCTTTTCCTTTTAAATTGAGGTAGGCCCAACTTATCCCAAGTGTATTCGCCACTGTGATCTGAGGCTGTTCCTGACAGTACTATCTTATGGTGAAGCTGATTAGTTTACTGCACACTACTACTGGTGCACATTTAGATGGTAACACTTTACTGCAGAGTAGACTAATTAGCTCTGCAGTAAAGTACATGTGTAGATGCATGTATGAAGATCAAGATGTCTCCCATGCTTTTCAATGGAGTTACAATGGAGGGGATTCTGTTATATGTAAGCACATGCACACACAGCTAGACATGACAGGCACCTAGAATATATGGATAAGCACTGCTCCTTGGTTGGATAAATCTAAGGAAGTGAACAGAGAAGAATAAATTCTCACCTAAGTCATCTGTGCTCTACCTAGAACAGGGCAGGGAGAAGAGGAGCCAGTTGTGCCCTTTTGATCCCACATGCAGTGTCATGTGAGACAGATGCAGATGCTGCATGTGGGATCACAAGGGTGCAACTGGCTCTGTGTTATAGCACAGCTGTAAAGTCCCACAGGAACCTTATACCAATGGAGATGCAGGCATAGGTGAGCTCTGCTCTCCCCCGATCAGCATCTGGCACACTGGAGGGCCAGAATGACTGGCATAGGATCAGGTTCTGTGGAACTACTGCATGTATAGATTCCCCCCATGCTAAGAAATCCTCCAGTGACCAGCCACGGCCATTGTATGTGGCCTGAAAGGCAGGAAAAACACTTGGCCAGAGAATTTGGCTCACAACTTGGTGCCTCTTTAAGTATTTGTTAACATGCCTCTTGCCATTCTTCTCCTTAGTATGGACTTCACTGGCATACCGGCTTTGTGCAGTCTGACCAAAATTGATACCAGATGACTTATAATAGAGCCATGTGTTAAGTAGGATAATGGAAGCAACTAAGAAAAGTGTTGATAGAAAGGAAGCTTTACAGAGGAAATAGTTGAGTGAATGTCAATAATAAAATATAATCAAGATAAAATATAATAAGGGCTGGGGTAACGTATTGCAAATGTAACTTAAAACTGAGCAAAGTCCACTAAGATGGTGTAATTAAAATTAAGGAGAAAAGGTCTGCTAGTTTCTTCAGTTTGTTCAAACCCAACCTATTTTTCCAGCAAACCATGACTAGGAGACTGGCATGTATGCCAATCACTGGACATTTGTTTTTCCACAGCTATGAGATCCCTGGTGTTATGAATGAGGATATCAGAGGCATATTTGCACTTTGATCTATTTTTAGCATCCAGCCTGGCATATTTTTGTGGTAACTTGCAGTAACATTATCTGATGGGGTATAGGCAATGGTCTTTGGTGTCTTAGCTCCTGGTGAAAATGAAATTATTAGACACTTCTGCAAAGCTCATTCTAATAGAGGAGAGCAGGTGCCCAAAATGCCATTCTGCTACAGTGAGTTATTGAGCAGCCAGTAAGAGATACTGAGATAAAGTGACATTTGGGCTTCTCATCTTCATTCCTAACACATACAGAAGAGACAATAGATAAGAACAAGGAAGTTTCTCCACCCATGGTAATGTTTTATATTACAAGGGGAAAAAACAATGTTACGGACCCAAAATTTAGAAAATACCATTATTAGTATTTTCTGTTCAAGCCTTAATTCATCTGTCTGGTGAATATGCATTATAACAAATTCTTAAATACAGGATAAGATATTATTTCTTCCACGGGACTCTTGCCTTATTCAATGCACAGAATAGACTGTGCCCAATTAACAAACAGCTATTCAATATTTTGTACAGCGTGTGGCCCTAGGCTTCATTTACTGCACATTAGTCTCTGCTATGAAGACAGGATTCTTAGTTTCCTTTTGTTTTTCTTTTCCCAATGGCATTCATCACTATCATTAATATTTATGAAGCACTCATTTACTAATATTCAGAACTCCTTGGAGGTTAGGAGGGCAGCATTACCTCTGCTTTACAGCTAGGGTGCCCAGGTACAGAAAGCTTACAGTCTAAACTGTCGACTAATTTTGAGCGTCCAGTTTGAGATGTCTATGAGTATTTAGAATTAATATAACACTCTATAGAGTCACGCCCAGCTCCCATTGCTTTTCTGTTGCTGTTGTGGGTATTTAGCACTTCTACAAATCAGTCTTAATTTAGGCACCCCAAAATTAAGGAACACCCTTTCACTGCTCACCTTTGAAAAATTTGGTTTAAGTGACTCAGAAGTATGAGGACCCTCTGCCGAAAGACAGGAGAGTATCCAGTTCTCCAGGGCAGCACAAAATTGTCTTAGCCACAAGACCATCTTATTTTTCCCCTTCAGTCCTCAGCCTTGTTTACTTCACATCATCTGGTTTCTGCAACAAATGAACCAGGAGTCTTACAGTCAACTCTGTTTAATCCCTAGAGCAGCACCAGCTTGTGGCAGGAAAGAGAAAGGGGTCCTGTGGAGAAAAAGAGCATGCGGTCTCTGGTTAGAGCTCTCCCTCGTCGCCTTCTGAGTCTCCTTGTCCAGCCCATCCATGGTCTCTGGTTCCCATGTGCCCCTCCAGCTTCTCTTCCCAAAACTTCTCTATCCCATCCCTTGGGCTCCTCAGCTAATCTGTCTCCTCTTCAACCCATGACTGGCTCAGTGTCTTAGTCTCTCTTCCCCTCCAGTCATAGTTCAGTACTGGTACATTAACTCCTTCCCATATCTGTGTGCAATCAGTTCCTGCTTCCCCTCTCTCCTAGCCCCACTTTTCTCCCTTACTTCCCTCTTTGTCTAATCCCAGTTCCTCCAGACTGTCTCAATCTGCTCCCTTCCATCCCATTAGCCTGACTTTTGTCCCCTCTACACTTGATTCAGACCGCTTCCCTTTCCATGCTGCCTGAGTGATGGCTGGGCAGGAAACAGTCATGTTTCCTCTTAGCTTTAGGCTAAACCAACCAGGCTCATTCAGTTTCCTTTTGCTAAAATGGGCTTTCCATGCCCTGACAGCTCATCTCTGCACATGTTCATCTTTTGAATTCTTCTTTCTTGAACAAGGGTAACCAGATGTGTATACCACATTCCAGATGAAGTCTCAACCATGCCTTATACTGGGGTACTATGGGTTCCTACATCTGCTGGAAATACTTTGGCTGATAAAGACCAAGGAATTTTCTTGACCGTCTCATAGGTATCCTGTGAGAAACTAATATTCCTACATATATTTCCTCTTCTGCCATTTCCAACTTCTGAGCTTATAACAGAAAATCTTATTGTTAGTCCCCTTAGACTTTGCAGTATTAAAATTCAGTCCATTTCTATTACTCCAGTCTTCAAGGTTGTCCAGGTCTTAGAGTCATAGAGAAGTAGGGCTGGAAGGGACCTTCAGAGGTCATCTAATCCAACCCCCTGCTTGAGGCAGGATCATCCCTATCCAAACCCTATCTTCCTATGCGATACTCCAGTCGTCTCTTGTATTGGCAGTTTCTGTCATAGCTAACTTTCATCAGCACACTTCTACTTCTTTGGGCCCAGATCATGAATGGAAAAATAAGAGCAGTCCCAACATTGATCCTTGCAGAACTGTTAGGACCCTCCCTTCAACCGGATGCTGTACCTGTCAGCAAAACCTGTTGTCACACTTTTTCACCATTTTTTTTCATCAACTTTAAAATTCTTATCCTCACCCTGATCTTCATTGTAACTGGTTATTCCTTATATGGCATGGCATCAAATGAAGTCCAGATAGATTACATCTACCGCATTTGTCTTGTCTAGACAATCTGGCAGAATTTGCCATTGGCAAAAATATACATTGCCTTTTGTACCATTTTGCATTTATTTCCATGGCTTTAATTATCCTTCAAGATTTTTAGGTAGAACCTTACAAATGATTAAGGTCTTGCTAACAAGCCTGTAATTACCTAGATTACCTTTTTTTCCTTCCCTTTCTTTTATGTAGCTAGAGGCTGCTATTCTCCAGTTATATGGCACTATGCCTAACTTGATTGATTTATTAAAATGCTTGCTTAACAAACAAGTGATTTCACAATACTGGGATGAAGGTTCTTTTGTTCTCCACCCACCTGCCGCCAATTTGAGTGCATTATGGTCTTCGATCTTCATTTCCCCCTTGGGTATGGTAGTATCTGTTTCATTCCAAGTTCTTGTTCCAGTTGGCCATCCTACCTTCACAACCAGGAACAACTGGCCTCAAAATAAACTGCAACTTAACACTCAGCAAGTTGTTGCCATAGCTGGAATATGTTCATTCAGTCTCGACTTCCCTATGCTGTGCCTTCCGTGTTGGAACATACTGATTCATAGATCACCGAGTCCTTCACCTGGTATTATAAACCAAGAACTGAAAGGACTAACCACAGGACTGGAAAGAAGGTGGGTGATTCGGATGGCGTACCCAGCTCTGCCACCAACTGGCTCCCTCTTTGTCTCTGAGCAGTTGCTTAACTTCCTGATGCATCAGTATCTGCCACCACCTGTAATGTAGGCTGCGTATCACCCCTGAGATGGTGGCATGATCATGACGTTTTATTTTATTTATTTATGCGATAAGGGACAAGGGAAGCATCTTCTATTGCAGTTTGTCTACTCGAGCAGATCTGCTGTTTGCTTTAAAAGAAGAAAGTACTTTAGGGGTTAGAGAGCTGCCTGTGTCTGCTGATGGAGCCATTTGCAGAGCATCAATATTTACCGGGGGGGGGGGAACCATACAGCAAATCTCACTCGGTTCGTTTGAGAATGGAGTGCATATTAGTTGCATTAGGCTACACAGGCAACATAGGAAAGGGTTAACACTGCTGTGCTGCTGCCTCCCCTTTAATTGCTTTCTGTTTCTCCCAGGCGGAAGTTGTGCAGAGCAGCTGAAGTTTAAGGCTGGTTTGTGTTTGGTTTTTTTTTTTTTTTTGGTTTTTTTATTCTAGGCATTGAGATTTGGAGACTGTGTCAAAGCAGGGAGAGTCCAACACGTACACAAAGCAAAGCTGAAAGCGCATGCTGGGAAGATGACTAAAGAAACAGAATGGAAAGAGTCCCTCTTCTATTACTACTGCATCAAATTTGCTCTCTCTGCCTATGCCACCCTGTTCTCGGTAGGTGTTTCAGTCCATTTCCCACTTTTGCATTGTCTAGGGGAACACGATACCTGCCTTGTGGTTTGTTTTACTTTCAGTTTCTTACAGTCACCCTCAGCTCTATAAAATCTACTGGTCAGTAATGATGTGCGGGCTTGGGCTGCATTGTCGAAGTGCCCGCTTACACAGCTCAAAGTCAGGGGGTTTTGTTTATTGCTGACAGGACATGGTGCTCTCCACTGTGATGCATTTTAATACTATTTCTCCCCAGTGTCCCACTTATGCGTAGCTGCTTTAAACATCAGTCAGGGCCATGGCTTGTGTTTCAGACAAGGTTTTATTTAAAAATATAAATCACTGAAGAAATGTAACATTTTCATGGGACAAACATCTCTTTTGCAATATTCCCAGCTAGCCCATTTGTACCTGACATCAGCTTCATGCTCTTCCAAGATTTGTCTCATTTGATGGAGATCAGAAAGAAGTTTGGTGTGACACCTGCCAGCTGTGATCACTGACCTCTTTGAGTCCTTAGTAGTTGTGGCTTTGGCCAGGCTGGTTCCTTGTTTGCTTTTGAAGTGCTGTTTAATTAATTGCATTTTGAAGGATGTTTAGTCCTTACTACAAGACGCCTACCTGTGACACTAGCACAGTAAACTTGAGAATGCACGAAACTCAGGAAGTGTGAACTCATTGTAAATGAAGAGAAGCAGGGATGGCTTATTTTTTGTCTCTGCAATAACTGTACATTGTGGAAGAAAGTGTTGGAGAGTGTTTCTTTCACTATAGGCTTTGTGTGTCATGGTAATGTTTTGTGTATTTTCATTATAACCAACTGAGCTTAGAATATTTATTAAGATTTCATTCCCTTTCTTTGGTTAATCATCCCTAAACCAAACCTGCTGATTATTTTTAAATAATTGCTGGTTAGTTTTCTGAGTCATTTCAATGTATGAAATATTTGCTAAACATATTTGATAGTATTATTAGTGTCACGGGTCACACAAATCACGTGGTATTATTTCTGCTCTCTGATTGGGTGGTTCATGAACAAGAATACAAATCATTTTTTATATTTGGGAGAAATTAATTCACAGGCTGGCAGCACATGCTTAACACAGTGATTCTCAACTAGGGTGCTACAGCACCCCAGGGTGCCTTGAAATGTTTTCAGGGGTACCACACAAGGTTAGCATTGTTAGGTGTGAAAACATGATTCACAAGATAAATCCAGAGATTTCAAATAAAAATCAGTAGCGTTTAAAACATTCTGACCTGTTGGGTCTGAGTTCTTTGCAACAGAAGAATTGTTCTGTTATTTTTTTATAGTCAAGAAAGAAGTGGAAATTTAAGAGCTGGCATTTTCCAAGGGGTGCCTCAGTCTGAAAGGATTGAGAACCACTGTTTTGACAGATGTTTGATCTTCACTGATTGACTCTTTACTTACCTGGATGCAGGAAAGTCAGAGCAAGAAAAAGGGCTCAGGGTGTGAAAAGATAAATCTTGAAGAAGGAACCGTCACGTCTGTGGACATGGCTGGTCCTGAGCTGTGTTACCCTTTTTGTTATTTTGTGGATTGCTTTGTTCAAGCCAAACTTTCAGAAAGACCTGCACTCCCTGGATGGTATATAAGTAGCATACCTACACTTGGTCAGGAAAGAGAAAAAGGAATCTGAAGGGAGCAGTAGTCAGGATCTTACAGTGTTAAAGTTTTAGAAAAGTCAGTGCAGGTTGCACTATTGGAGGTTTTTACCAACAAACCTGAAACCCAAGCGTAATGCAACCAAATGCACCAGCCTATAGACACAGGTGACTAGTAGGGGGTGCATGGGGGTTTGCGTGGCCCCCTGACAGGGCCGCTGCCATAGGCGGCTTCCGCGGGTGCCCCCCGCCCCCCGCAGATTCAGGCGGCACCAGGCACTTATGCCTATAGATTAATCTAGTCCTCTAGTCCAGAGCCAGAGCAAGACTGGGCTGTTTTACAACTGTGTGTTTTCAACCAGCTTGTCACAACATTGAGGCAGTAGCTGGCAGTTTCAGCTACTTATTTTTAATTTAAAAATTATTAAAACTTAGTAAAGAACCAAAGGAAGTGTCATAATGAATACATGGTTAGCAGAAATATTAGAGAACCTAAGCTGTTAAGTTTAGCATTGAAAGTGCCTATTAGTACAGTACATCAGTTCATTTTCCATTCGTTAGAATGGAGTTTTATCATCTCAGCAGGACTGGGCACGTTATCCTCCTGCTCTCCCAATAAGCCAGCTGGGTTTATTTGAGAAAATTCAAGGAGGTGGGCCACGTCCTGAAGCTTCAATGCCAGGGGAATGCATTCCTTTAGGGCTAATTGTTCTCTGGACCTGTCCACACTGAAGAGGGACTTGCATGTTTAGAGAGCTCCCCACTGAAGCACGGTCTGCCTGCTCCACAGGCATTACCTCCAGACAGATGTAATGTATCACTCAAAACTCTTTGCTTGCTGCTGAGTTCACAGGACATTGCATCCAGTTGGGGTGCACTGCTTCCAGAGTAAGCGTGCAGGGCTCTTTTGCAATATGTTGATGGCTATAGCTAGGTTTTAACCTGAATTTTGTGTTGGTTTTCTTTCTGCTGAAATCACGTGGCTTTTGTATTCATGAAACACTGTTGATGAGCCTGGCTAAGTTTGCAGCTTTTTTGAAATATGAAAGCAGCTGAGTGTTGCCTGACTTTTGAGTTTGTTGACAAGTTTTGAACACCCCTGGTCATAGGAGGGGGGTATTTTTACCTCCCACTAAGCTAACTCAAGGTCCTGTTTTACACAGTACAAAAGTCACTGAATTATAAGCTGGTAAAGCATGATCTGAGTCAAATACTGTTTAACTATCAATGTTGTTCTCAGGCCCAGGCATCTTTCCTAAGAATGGTAAGATGTAAGCAAGCTATTATTTATGAGCCTATTGGTAAGACATTGTCCACAAAAAAGAAATAGGGGACTTCTGATTTCACACAAGGCCACAAAACATTTGCAGTAGGGATTAACTGTCAAATGCCTTCAGATTGATCAATACTCACTGAGCTACTCAAGAGTTAGGTTTTTAGGTACCGCTATCCCATCCTGGCCTGCAAATTGAACATCCTTAATTGACCTTTTCAGCTGCTTGAACTACAGTTTCTCATTTGCAAATCTGTCATGTTATAAACCCTGTGGCTCTCAGCAGTGAAGAGGGCAATAAAGTCCTAATAAAAGTAACTATATCCCTCAATGTCTTGCTGGTTCTTAAATGAACTTAACAAAACTGTTATTTGCCAGGATCTTTTTTTTTTTTTTCTTAAGCTTTCAAACTATCCAGTTGCAGTCCTGTTTCCAGCCACCCTGTTAGAGAAGAATTCAGTGGGAAATACTGGGTTGATTATTTCTCCAGATGTGAATTCTCAAAATGCCGAAAGTTTCTACATTAAAGATGCATTACAGTCTATTAATATTAAACCATTTTAAATCACAGAAAGCTACTGGCCTGTCAACAATAAAACAGTGGTGCTGAATGGGGCCTTGTGAGTACTTCTGCCATGTAAATAAATAATCCTTTCTGGGAAAGGCCTTTTCAAAGCCACCTAAGGCACTTGCAGGGCTGTGGCCCGTTAACAGGAATGCAGCAGTAGTTTCCATGGTTCCCTTTGATTAAATGCCATTTAATGGTTGGATTTCATCTGTGATTGCAAGTTTTACTGACAGGAGCTGGTTACCTTCAGTTTCCTCTCACTGTTCTGCACTAGATAGTAATGAATACAATTAATTGATGGATAGTAAATGGAAGGCAATAATGCATCAGAGTCCCATACAGCACATTCCTATGATGAGAGCAATTAATTACAGGTAAGCATGAAATTAATGAGGTCAAGACAAGTTTAAATCTTGTCTATCTTCCCCCTGGCCAAGCACTTCTAAAACATTTTTAATTGATTTTTTTGTTTTTAAACCACTGCAGTTTTGGAGTCACCTGCCAATGCCAAAGTTAAGAAATTTCTTATTTATCTTAGTCTTCCCTACTGCCCAGATTTCTCTTCAGAGCAGCTTCCTGATAACAGAAGTAGGCTGGGGGTAAGGGAAAAGCTCTTTTAGAGGGCCCAGCATTTTAATGGTTTCAGGAAACCTGGTCTCTCTTTTGGATAAGATGCTTTTGAGACTGGTTTGGTAAATTTGGGGCAGTTTGCTTCCAACTGAGTTTTTGCTATGACTGTTGCCTGTTTGAAGAGTTTTCTCAGCAATGCATGAGGCCAAGAATGTGCAAAGGGAAGTTGATGGAAAATATCAGGAGATATATAATTGGGACTACCAGACTAGTCTCAGGAAAGTGTGAGAGAGCCATTGCTCGGAGAATTGGAAGCTGTGTTGGGGGCGGGGTGAATTGCAAGCACACTTCTTATTGATACAAGAATATCCTGACTTCAGGTGTAGTAGGTGTGGGATCTATTTAGTCATTCCTCATTTCATATAGAAGACCCAGGCTCAAGTTCCTGTTGTGAATCTCTTACATCCTAAGCACAGCTCCATCAGTTGTTCCACTGTCTTGCTCTTCAGCTTTTAGGGAAAAATTGGGAAGGGGTTGTTTTTCTTCTGATACAGAATGCAAGAATGTTTTAAATCTTGGGAAGCTTTGCAGGAGGGGAAAACCATTTCTCACCCAGCTCTTCACTAAACACTTGAGACATACCAATTGGATACCACATTCTGTTCCTCAAGGTGCCCTGAGCATCCTGTACAGAGCAGCTCTGATGCAAGGTTGAAGCATCAGCTATGCTAACTGCCCTCGGCTTTCTCAGTATATTTCTACTTCTCCCATTTTTGTCTCAGTAGCTGGAAATATCTTTTCAGCCTGACTGAATTACAATAGCAGTGGAGGGTTCTTTTCTGCTGTGTTTTTGCGTCTCAAGCTAAGCGGTGAGGGATTTCCGCAAGGGCCTTTGTTGACAGTATTACCTTAATCATTGCAGTGCTTAAGCAGTGCATTAAAAGGTCAAGGAAAAATTGCCTGCTA